TGCTGACAGCGGGGAGGTTTGGTCGATGCGTAACGCAGATACACAGTGTACAGTGCAGGCAGAGACACGGCCAAAGGGCAGAGAAGAATTTTTATATTTAAATTTTTCTTTTCATAAAATATGAATTGTATTTCACACAAGCAATTTGATTTTGATTTTGACCTCATCACAAATGTGAGGCATAATAAGCAGCCTAAGTAATCCCATCCTATTTTACAGACAACAAAACTGGAACTCAAAGGTTAATGACTTTAAGATCAAACTGCAAGACAATGGCCAATGAATCCTTCCTGGGAAGATGCCTCTTCATTACTCTGCGTTGCTTTTTTTTTTTTTTTTTTTAACATCTTTATTGGGGTATAATTGCTTTACAGTGGTGTGTTAGTTTCTGCTTTATAACAGAGTGAGTCAGTTATACATATATATATGTTCCCATATCTCTTCCCTCTTTGTCTCCCTCCCTCCCACCCTCCCTATCCCACCCCTCCAGACAGCCACAAAGAACCCAGCCGGTTTCCCTGTTGCATTGCTTTTTGTGATGCTCCTTTGAGTCAGGGCCATTAAAAATTTTTAAATCGAGTTCACCTGAAACAAACCTGAATTTCACTTGTAGGTGAATATCCCAAAACACATTTTATAAGAAGGCTTAAACAGTACTCAACTTTAAAATTTTAATTGTAGGTCTACATACTCACATTTATCTTCTAAATTAAAGGGAGACTTTTAGAGGTGCAGCGTTATCGACAGTGTTTATAAAACAGTGGGTCCCTTTCTTTCATTCAGTAGAGGCTCACCCTGTGGTGGCTGTAGTATGGTTCATTTAAAAATAGCAGCAGTAGAGGACTTCCCTCGTGGTCCAGTGGCTAAGGCTCCATGCTCCCAGTGCAGGGGGCCCAGGTTCGATTCCTGGTCTGGGAATTAGATCCCACATGCCACAGCTAACTAAGACCCAGTGCAACCAAGTAAATATTTTTAAAAAAAAAATAGCAGCAGCAGTAGTAGAAGTAATCGTAGTGGTAGTGGTAGTGGTAGTAATAATGATGGTGATTCTATCCAGTACTTATTTAATGCTTTGGGTATGCCAGGCACCACTCTAAGTGTTTTCCCTGCATTTTATAAATTAATCCTCATAATAATCTTTCAAGGTAAATACTGTTAATATACCCATTTAATAAAGGGGGAAACGGAGGCATAGAGAGCATAATTAACTTTCCCATTTGTCACATAACTAGTAAGTGATCAAGTCAGGATTCAAACCCAGCAGGCTCATTCTGTTGCCCAGACTCTCCAATACTCTTTCTCTTCCTCCCTTGTTTTCCCTTGTATCGGGTCAATATTCCTAAAAAGAATTCTTACAAAGAAAAAAGAAAAGGCAAACACTGAAATTTAAAAATTTTAATACTGAAAATTCTTGAAATGAATTCAGGTTGTCCCATAGTCCATAATCATTTTTTCTGCCTTAAATACTGTGTATAACTACCAAGCACATATTGTGGCAGCATCATATGAGGTTTGAATATGAAATATTTCTTTCCTGGTTGGGGACACAGTCTCTTGGGGATTGAGCATTTTATATTATTCATAAAAAACACATACATGTATATACACCCACAAAATCATCTTTTTTTTATAGGCTAGTGCTCACAGTATTTTAAATTTCTTCACACACCATGATCCCCACACAATTCCCTGTAGAGTACACAGTTGTAAATGGAATTGAGAACTAAAAAGAGTGTGTGTGAATTCTATGGTAGTTTTGAATTTAAAATTCTTCTGTGGTCTGGAGTTGTCCCAGTAGTAAATTTCACAGTAGTAGGCAAAGCTGGTCAAGCTCAACGTTCCTGGTGTGAATGACACTTGGTTAAAGCCCAAGGTGGTCAACATATTATTACCTTAGGAGGAAGGGAAACCCGTCTGTTCTGGTGAATGTCTTTAAGAAGGGAGAAAGGGGTGCTGGCGGTTGAGAACCTTTGAGCTCAGCTAAGGGCCTTAGCCCTGTCAGTGTTAGTCAAGGTCAGTGGGATTTTTTTCTTTTTAATCCTACGTCACAGCAAAATCTGAGTGGTATGCAGTGAAGGATAGCATTCAGCCAAGATTTCCTTAGGTATAAAAATGTAAATTTCAGTGTGAATACAAATTTGAAGAAAAATGTATGGCTTGCGTATTTTTGCCTTTCAAGCATTAAAGTATACCAAAAAACTCTGGTTTGAAGTCAAGCCTTACTCTTCTGCTACCTTTTTACTATGAAGTGTCTAATTAAACTTTAACCTGCTATGTCCTTCAAGATTTTGGAAAATTCTAGCATACTTTTCAGCTTCTACTTTTAGGTATTTTTTATGACCTATAGATTAGAACCAAAGAGTGTATCCTCTTATATCTAGACTTTTCAAGTAACAACCCGTGAGTGAGGGTTGACTTCCAAGATTATTTGTCTTTTCTTAGATAAAATAAATGATTTTAATTATATTTATTAAAATTTTAATTAACATTTTATATTGCTAAATCTGTACATATATGCTCTGATTGGCTGGCTCATAATAGGTATTTCGTTAGCAGTTGCATTTTTCTTAAAAAGGAATTGCCTAACTAAAAGGTAACTAAGTTATTGGTGTCAGTTTTGTAGAGTCTTATGCTGCCAATTAGAGATTTAATAGATGATAGATAATAAGCTCTTCTTTTAAAATGCAAATACCATCTTCTGGATAATAAGGGCCAATTGGTCTTTCGTATCTTAGTATATACATTACTTTCTAACACTATAGGTTAAAAGTGGCTTCAGTGAAGACGGACAGGGAAGAAGATGTAATTTTGTACTGAAGGAAATTTCTAGAAAGGGAAAGACTTTGGTGTGTGTGTTTCACCTCAGGAGGGCTGTTGGACTCTGTGAGGATATAAAAAGTGGAAAATAGGAACTGCAGGGCTTGATAAAAGGTGTATATAAGAAAAGGCAGGGGGCTTCCCTGGTGGCGCAGTGCTTGAGGGTCCGCCTGCCGATGCAGGAGACGCGGGTTCGTGC